CCAATTTTCAGCCGTATTTTGTACAATTACGTTGTTTAGATGTCGTTTAGCGAGAAACACTACGCGAAATAACAGATTTCTAGAAATTTGTCGATCTTGAACTTAATCAACAATCCTAGTCAAGAAAATCAGAGTTATCCAGTTCCTAGTGACGATCATGCAAATGAATCTGTAAAAATTAAAAAAAAAAGAATCTAAACTCTTCAAAAGATTTTTGAAGACTCTTAAGCACCTGGACGGACAAAGAGAAACGCGAACAAATACTCTGAAGAAAGTCTCTTGGTTCCTTCGTTATTTGCAGAAGTGCTTGGCTCGATTACGGTTACAGTTAATCGGAACAGCGCGAATTCTCTTTGGTCCTTGTCATCGGTTAGATCCAGTTATTGAATCACCCGAGCATCAAGAATGGCGGCGCGTTTCCAACAGAATAATTTCACAAACCTTCGCGAAAATATAGGGATCTCGTTGCGCGACGCATTCTATTAACGTGGCAATTAACAGGAAGCGAGCGAGAGACGTTTGCGAGAAGACACTGCCGAGGTGAGCGTCAGTGATCCGAATTAATCTTTAGACACGGGAAAAGCGTTAAACGCAATTAAGATCTGGTTGTTCGTCTAGAGAAAATTAAACCAAGGACACTGACGTTCCCTGGTGGCCCGATTGCAGCTGCAACCGTAGCCGCGCCGTTGTACAACTATCGCGACATTCGAGGAAATTAATTTTAGAAATTATAAGGGAAGGGATTTATCCTACCATGTAACTACTTTTATTCCAGTTAAGGTTACTTCTTGCTTTCCTTTCGGTTTTCAACTCGGCAATTGACGTGATTCGATAAATGAAATTAGTTAACATTAACAGAGACCTACTATTGTCATTCGCTCGTCTTACTTTGAGTTATTTGATGAACACGTGAGTATAGACATAAATTGTTAAGGATCTGTGTTACTAGTACACGTATACAGAACATTTTCTGGTTAATCGCAACGCGTGGTCGAGATTTCTTTCACTCTAACAGTCGCTGAGACCAGATACAAAATTTCAACTGTCCAATAACTAACTACACACTACAAAGTACATGTATATTTAATAAGTACACAAGTATCAAATATACAAATAGAAGTACACAAGCATCCAGGATCTGGATTCGTTCATACGTACACGTGAAACAAGGACTTCTAACAGAGAAAGTGAATGACCGACAAAAATAATACATTAATCGTGGAAATGAAAAAGTGCAACTGCTACGTATCGATCATGTCAGTTAGCGAGGAAACAGTAATATATCCAGTTAACGATTCACAGACGACACGATAACAAAAAGCGCTAAATTCAAGGAAACGTTCAGAGAGATCGCGCTAAACTCTAAAAATACCTACTCGATGGATTTCGAGACCTAACGATCCTATTGTCGCCGTGCTGTAGTTGCTCGACGACCATGTCGCAAGTTCTAACGACGAGTTTATACGATGGGAAAGTTGAAAATGAGTGGGACGTGACGTTAAATCCGAGTACAATCGTCGCTAATCAGGATCAAACATCCGCCTCAATTTCAGTCGGCACCATTATTTCGCTGGTTCTCCATGAAGTTCTCCGTTTGCAAATTCGCCGGCACAGTTACGTGCTTAGTTCTAAATTGTAACCTTGTTACGTACTTAGCGTTGCCAGCGTGACGCGTAATCTTGTGGGCATTGACTAGGGAACTGTGCGGCGCGCGGACAACGATACGCCGCGGCAATTTCCTTCGAATCATTAATTACGAACAAGATATGGTAATAAAGGGTCCTTGAGCGATTACAAACGATCAAGAAGATCTTAGACTTTGGATCGTGCGTTGTCAAAGTATTCTTAATCCAAATATTTTTCGAAGCTACACAGCTCCAAGTCCTGTCTAATTCTCAAAACTAGAATTACGAACGATCAATACGACAAAATGTGTAAACTCTAAACGTGACACTGTGAAAACACTAATGGAGAAAGTTTGCCGTTTCATCGTTTCACCGTTTAATCCAGTTAGTTTCGAAGCAAGAGGAATTTAGATTACAGTTAGAAGCAAAACTAGAAATTTCTTCTGTGCGGTGGCGATGAAATTGCTGCTGAATTAAGGATGTACGCAATATTCTAACGCACACTTATACATAGTCCATTCAGCATTTCACGATACGAAAATTTCGGAAAATTGCCAAAAACAAATCTCTCTCTCGTTCTCGATGGCTACGCGTACGAATCTTTAGAAACGACTTAGATGTTTATGTACAGTACCTAAATCGATACGGCTAATTAAATTTTTGATCTTTATATTTACCTAATCGCCAGAGTATGCAATATCTTTTGAAATTTAAGTTTAATTAAGATTATAAAAGCTATGGCTAATTTCGAGAAGCTTCAACTCGGGAAGTTTTATTAAAAACTGACATTTCCTACGTCACGAGAATATAAATGAATGTAAGCGAACACCTGTGTACATTTAAACTCGTTATGATACACTTTTCGACTGTCACTGTTCATTGAAGATTATACAACGCTGAAAATTATATGACGTCTTAATGTTTAAATCCTCCGCAAAATTTACATATCTAAGCTCTCGAGCCATGTCTAACTATCAACTGATCACAATCTAATGATCAAATAATTTAGAACACGTTCGTATTCCAACGACGTTAAACCAGATGTTATCTCGACTAACTAAATTCAAACAAACTTGCCTAAAAATTTCACCATGAACTGAAACGGAGAGAACAATTTGAAGAATGCAACATCCATTTGTATACTCCGGAGTGTATCGTGTCTTGCCTAGCAATTAACGATGACGGCGTTCGAATCACTTTAGCAGAAAGACGCTAATTTCAGCTGTTTCACGGAATATTCTAATCTCGTTAAGTACTTAGCGGAGCTGATATGACGTGTAATCTTGTGGCCATTGTCCACGTCACCGATGGGACTCTCGAGGCAAGGGTGTTTCAGGTTTATCAGCACTAACAGGCGAAGCGCGGCATACGGAGATCGGTGTAACCGACACATTCGCAGATGCAGCGGACTAATCTCCTCTATGCAGAAGCATTATACCGAGCGGACCGAATAGCACAATCTGGCCCGCAAAGTAACTTACACGGTTACCACGCTCGCGTGTACAAACACGGACGTTCTACCGTTTGAATAATATTTCAACCATATTTCATACATTCAGTCTTAAGTTCTAGGTACTAGAATGTTGTATCGGTAATTTTGTGATCAACAATTGGAGATTCAAACGTATTATAACGTACTGAGTGAATAAATGAAAAAATATATGTAGTTGAAGATAAAAACGCGTTATGTCAATTTGTTACGTGTCTCGACTGGACTTTTATATTTATAGTAATTTTATGCGTTTTTCTTCTTTTTTTTTTTCGAAGAATTATGAAAGATTTGCGCTCACGCCTAAAATCCTTGGTTTTATCTTTAATAAGAAAATAAAAATGCTTCATATTGAAATAATATAATAAAACTTCAGTACGTGATATAAATTACAAATTATGAAGCTTATTTTACCTTTATTTTATACAGCATATTTGATTTTATATTATATATATATATTTTGAGTGGACCATTGGAGCAGCTGTGATTCCATCCGATTTGAAATGAACGAAATTAAGAGATAAATGAATTATAAATTAATAAAATTTTTTACGCATCGATTTATTCTGTCTCTAATAACTTCACTTTTCGGTATGAATCGTAAGCTTCAATTAAATTAAAATTAAAAGCGCATTTACTGATAAATAATTTTAATAAATTGGTTACCTTCCAGGCAATAAATCAAACGATGTGTTTCGTTGTGCATTTCTCGAATTATTTAAAGTTTTTCAACGTTCAAGTAAATTTAATATCCATCCTGAAACTTTTGAGCAAAGGTGTATGTGTGTGCATGTCCTAAAATTTTCTACGCTGAAGAGAAAATCTTTGGAGAGTATTTTGAGAGTCATCGTGATCGAGGGATTCTTTCAAAGCGTGATTTAGCAGGTTTTAAAGCATTAAAAGCTTATTAAAAAAAATGTGGATTAACTCTAGTGATACGACCGTGATCATAATTCATTTAGCCATTATTTTCCTCGATGGACGTTAGAATAGATTGAAACCTTAATCATTGACACTTTTTGTCCTATGATATTAAATTGGCTAAATTTAAATATCTACGATAATAGAAAATGGGACGATACTTTAAAAAATTATAAAGCTAAAAGAACGATAAGTCTGACTATTATAGATTAACGTTACGATAACGATTTCTATCATACACGATATATAATAAATTTCTCCTTTTTCAGTATACAGTCACAATTAACAATTATTAAAATTTAATATTACGGCACTGCTCTATTAAACTCTGAGAAAAACTAATATAGTAGAAAATACTGAACGATAAAGATCAACGCGTTGATACGCAGATTAGGACAAAGATATTGTTTCACAATGGAACGCTCGTGTTTAATAAACCTGAATAGCTAACACATCGAAAGATATTTCGTAACAAGCGTCGAAAATATTAAAAGATCTTCGATCGATGCTCGAGAAACCACATCTGCGAAAGCAGCTGTATTTGTGCCTACAACAAAAAGCTTCCTGTACGTTCAATCCCGAATTCAAGCAGAAGCAACGCTCAATATTGGCTCTTTCTTTTCCCGTTGATCGTTGACAAAGCCCCGGTCAAAATTTTCGGACGAGCTTTCGTCTGAAAGAGGATGCGAGCGGAATGAATCGCGCGGTAAGAGCTCTTTATTCCGAATAACAATGGCGCGAGAAACGGTTCGAGGGGCAACGTGCCAGTTCCGATAAATAAGATGAGATTGAGGCATAGGGCATAGAAAACGGGGACGAGGCGCACGAGCCTTCGCTTTGAATCTTCCGTGAATCGTCGGCGAATTTTTTTCGGACTTTAAAACACCGTGGGAACGTAGAAAACCGGATCTCTCCTCGAGTGGAGAGCGCAACGCGAAATTTCAAGAAGAGGGGGCGAGATATTTTTAATGAAAATCCTGTTGCGATAAACACTCACCCAATAACGCCTGGAACAGCCTGCTTTTGAAGATGCGTATCACACGCTCGATTGCCAATCGCAGTTGTTTGTCCTGAGGCCTCGTCAGCTTCGCGTGGTAATCCTCGAGGAGCTCTAAAGCTCTGTGAGCCTCTGGAAAGGAAAATTACGCTTTAGCAGTTTACGGTTATGTCGCGTGAAAATAACATTATATTATATTAGGTGTAGGTGTTAATTCGGCGCTTGAGTTCTAAAGTATGGGTAGTCACGCGTATAAAACACGTCGTAGATTGTACCAAAAGGCATAATATATTCCATTTGACATTCAATTAAAGACGAGAACACTCTGACAGAAAAAATATAAAAATTGACAATTCGGGGGACTTGAACGAGAGATTATTAAACAAAAAACGTCTCTCATGCACAATATGTGTTGTTTCGTAATACAGAATGATTCAAAAAGATAAACATTCCTGCTAGAATGATTCCAGGGTAGAATGTTTAACTAGACAGCAAGATTATCTGAAAAGACATCGAATTAACTTCTACGCCCAAAAAATTTATTTCCGAATATTCTCTTCTTTCTGCGCAGAGAACAAATTCAAAAATGAGTGACGTGTCGTGATCGTAACTGATAAGTGTATTCTAGTTAGTCCCGTGAATTGAAAATAATAAAATTCAAAAGGAATAGGAGAGGAGATCGGATCGATTTCCAATTGCAACAATATGCGTGAAACAATTGTGAAAAGCGCGAGACAGAGCGAACGAAATGGGAATTCGTTGTAACAGCCGGATAACGTTGGCTTAAAATGTCATTCATTCGTACAAACGTACGCGTCGCGTATGTTAATTTTGCGAAACGTTGCGCAAAATTATGAATTAGAGTGGCGTGCAATTCATCGCTGCGATGCTTAAATTAATATAAATACCAGCGTCTGACGTGCGTCATCGTGTGCCATTTGTTAAAATGTAAATCGTACGTTTGTTTCCGCGAGGAGGCAAAAGTCCCGCAAACAAAGAAACGAGTAACAGCAACATGCATGAAATTTCAAGAAATAAAAGACACGTAAATGCACAGGTGCGTCTGATCTCTAGCGCAAAATGACAACGAGGACGACGTGTACGTGAAATTCTCTACTAGAAGAAGAAGAGAAAAAAAGAAGACGAAACAGAAGGAAACAAAAAGAAAGGACACGATGCCAGACAGAGGTAATAGAAAGAAACTCGTGTACGGGAGAATTTTTCTTTTATATCTTCGAACTTTGCAGCTTCGGAGCAGAAAAACCGTCTTTTATTCAAAGGAGAGGAGAGTAGAACTTCTAGTTAATATACACGGAAACGAATCGACGAACATCCGCGGGCCATTCTCTCGCCATTTTCTCTTGTGTTGCCTGTAGTAAGATGCAATGGCGATGTCATAAGAGGGATGTTGTAAAGGAACTACTTCAGAATCCCATATGCACTCAACGCTGATACACAAAGAACAATGGAAATACCAATGATATCACGATTGTTTTTCCTCTGTGATATTAACCAGTTTCACTGTGAAGTTACTTCTGATACAACGACGCTAGAACTTTCGGGTCACGCGACGTTTCATACAGTTTATAAAAGAAATTAGTAGGATTATTTTGAAACTATATGTATACCAAAACAGAAAGAAACGGCCAACTGATTAAAACGAAGAAAATCTCTTAAGGACCTCGATTAATTCGTTGCTTGAAACTTGAAGTAACATTTCTAAGATATCGAAAATATTTTTCGTGGATAATTGTAACGATAAAAACACATTTTGCATATATCCGCGACAGTTGCGCAATAGATTTCACGCTATTTAGCAGATCGTAGTTACTGATTTGCAAATGTATATAGACTTTCGTGACTAGCTGTATTCAAACACGATCGCATAATTCCAGATTGTTTGAAGAGATCAATTTGTCTGCAATTCTGTTGCTGCCGGTATTAAGTTTAAATTCTCGAGTTTAAATTCACCGTCGCCGTGGTAACTGACAAATAAACAATAAACTACATATTTGTATTTGGACACACTGCAATTAGCTCCTCCGTGTCTAAGATAAGCTACCAAAACCAGAAGGAAATAAAGTCGCGGTTACGAAAAACAAACTGGCAAGGAAAAAAAGAGAGAGAGAGAGAGACTTAAAAATACCGAAGAATTTTAAAGCATGGGACAAACTGTGGATTTCGATCTTCACTCTATCCTCAGCGAAGATGTTAGGTTTCCATCAAACGACTTATCCCTTGATATTTTTCCCGTACCCGAAATATTTCATCCATCGCGAGAAGTTCTTGTCGCGACCGATCCGCGGATTGTTGAAAATCCGCAGGTCATCTCGACGAATTCCTCCCTTCCGGGTAGTTTAGACAGCGGTGGACGAGTGGTCGGCGCACTTGTTGATTCGTACTACTTACGGCAAATCCCAGAAAGTCGCGGAGAGGATCGATCGATCGTCTCTCGGTCGGTCCGTACGTCTTCGTCTCGCTTCGTTCTCCAGAGAGAGAACTCGCCACCACTCCTCGCGTTCGCGACGCAATATGCTAACCGCAAGAGAATCGCGCTGCGTCGCGCCGCGCCGCGCAAACAGGCGACGTGAGTGCCTCCCGATCGATGATAATGCGAATTTTCACGACCGTTCTCTCCGTCCGCCCACCTACCAGTTCCTTCGATGGGTTCACCAACTTCCAAACTGCGCGCCGAACAACGGATATCCTTTCGTCTGGATGCGAGTTAAATGTACTTGGAGTCGAGGAACTTTTCTCCGAAGAATATGGATCGTCGTCGCGTGACCTCGTGGCGCAAGGAACGTGAAATATGATTAATTACAGTCGGGGCAAGAAGCTAACACGATTATCGTTCAGTGTGTTGAAACAGAAACGTTCCGTGCGAGTGAAAATTTTGTCGAGTCAATGATCCGATCTTACGCGATTGCTCGCGAAAGTGTTTGGACGACTTCCGGGAACTTTTGTACTTCGAAATATATTAATTTGTATTATATATAAAATATTTTGATGAGTGAGACTCGATTGTCGTGTTTGGAAATAATATAAAAATATATACAAGAAATTACAAAATATTTAATAGAAGTATATATTTATTATAATAGCTCATTATTACAATTTTCCGCTGTAATTGTTCTATATTGTTAATTATTATTTTATTAATAAAATCAATATCCAATGAGACGATATTATACGTTTCAGATGACTATTAATGTTGTGTACTAAATATTTACAAGCATCTTGCAACTTGTATATACATTTCCACATTGGTTTCAAATTCCAATATTATCCTAATAGACGTTTCCCGTTACAATGTTCATTTCATGTAAAAGTTCATCCCATTATATGCCTCATTTATAATGTCATGCAATTTAACATGATACTGTATGAAAGAGTAATGACACACTGCGAGTAACATTTTCTCAAATCTACTTTCAAATTTGTTGTCACGTAGCAAAAACTGGTCACTTCCTCTCGATCTTCGAACTCCTACATTCCTAACAGAATAATCATGCACACTGCGATGTGTTTAATAAAAACTAGAAAATTGTTAATTAAGTAGTTATACATATGGAAGCACGTGGCAATTAAAATTGCAAGCTACGACGTTCAGACACCGCCCAAAAGCCATTCACGTCATTACCGGAAGACTTTAATGAACGTCTTGTTAATGACGTTCTAGACGGCACAGTGATCCAGTTAGATTAAACGAAAAATTTCTAATTAAACAAGCCTGATATCGCAAGAGCGGATAATGAAAGTATTGTCTCTGACAATTGAACAACAAGTAAAAAAGACACGGCTTTAAATAGTGAAAATCATTTTCCAGATAACCAGGCGGATCCGTTCTAACCGGCTTTGCTAATTATCATTAACCGTTCCGTTAAACGAGAACGCTAAAGGGCCAATTACCAGTAAATGCTCCATTCCGAGAGCAACCTTTCGCCTTCCCGAGGATAACTGCAGATATTTCTTTTCCTCCAAACAGTCGAAATTTGCAAGTCCATTGCAGAAAGGTTGAATACATTGAACGTCAACGTGCGTTTAAACGTATCGCAAAACTGAAACAAACTTCGGCGATTCTTTTTGTTTCGCGAATTCGCTAATTAATAAGATTAATAATTTACTGGAATAACGTTTGCGATAGTGGTGTTCCACGATAATGAAATAATACGCTTCCGCGTACGCGTTCAATGGAGCATTCGACTTTCAGCCATTTGCCGTTATAATTTACTTTCGTTCGTTGTAGAGATCAACAACAATATATTGAATGCAACCTTTTGCAGCGCGATGATTTCATTAGAGTGTAATTAGATCTATATTGATCTGGAAACTGTAAAAGCAAACGAGAAATTGAACTAAATTCGAGCAGATTCTGCAAAATCAAGAATAACGATTTGAAACGATGAATTATTTCAACTAACTTACTATTGTTTTAATAACAAACAGATAAACCACAATAAATATTGTAATAAATAAATAAAAATTAATTTAATAGTCCTGGAAGATGAACCTCCTATAGCATGGCAGAAATATTTAGACAGTGGACCGCAGAGGATTAATAATATAAAAGACTCAAAAAAAACCTATTTAAAAAACTAAAAAACCATTTTTTGATTCCTCAAATCGAAATGATTCCGAAATAATTGAAGAAATTATTTACGCGGCACGAATTTTGAATCACAACTATCCGTCGTCCGTTCGATCAATTTCGGCGAGAAAAATAAAAATAAAAGAGAGAAAGAGAATGCCAATAGGATTTTTAAAATAAAAAGCTATCGACCATAAATTTCACGATTAAAACGGAAGACTGGAATATGATAAACCTATAAACCAAGGAAATTTACGGAACGATCGGCGGGTATCTGGAAAATCAAAGCGACTCGCCGATGTTCACCGGCGCGACATGCACGAGTAAAAGTCAAAGAATGGCACTTTGATTTCTGAACATCACGTGCTGCACGTGCGTATAACGAGCGTTCCTTTCCGTGCGTTCCATTTTCCCGTCGTCCCCGGATACACCGTAAAATGGAAAAACCACTCCGCGTGTAAACGGGAAAAAACCAGACAAATATGGATACCCCTTTACAAGAACGTACGTATACACATTTCGCGGTACAGGTTATAAAACTATA